GAGGCTGAGGCAGGCTGATCACAAGGTCAGGAGATTGAGACCATCCTGGCCAACATGGTGAAACCTGTCTCTACTAAAATTACAAAAAATGAGCTGCGCATGGTGACACACACCTGTAGTCCCAGCTACTCAGGAGGCTGAGGCAGAGAATCACTTGAGCTCGAGAGACAGAGGTTGCAATGAGCCAAGATTGCCCCATTGCACTCAAGCCAAAAAAAAAAAGCAAAACCCAACTAAAAAAAAAAAAAAAAAAAAAAAAAAAGCATATGAAAAGATGTTTAACCATCATTAGTTACTAGGAAAATGCAAATTAAAACCATAATTAAGAGAGGACTATCTACCTATTAGACTGGCCAAGATTTAAAAAGGTACACTTGCTGGTGACAAATGTGGAGCTACTGGAACTCCCATTCATTGCTAGTAGGACTGCAAAATGGTACACCCATCTTGAAAAAGAGGCAGTTTCTTATAAAACTAAACATTCACTTATGATATGACCCAGCTACCTGACTACCAGGTATTTACCCAAGTGGATTTTTAAAAAATTTCTTGGCTGGGTGTGGCGGCCAAGCACTTTGGGAGGCCGAGGTGGGCGGATCACGAGGTCAGGAGTTTGAGACCAGCCTGGCCAACATGGTGAAATCCCATCTCTACTAAAAATACAAAAATTAGCCGGGCACGGTGGCGGGTGCCTATAATCCCAGCGGCTTGGCAGGCTGAGGCAGGAGAATAGCTTGAACCCAGGAGGCACAGGTTGCAGTGAGCCAAGATTGCACCACTGCACTCCAGCCTGTGTGACAGAGCAAAACTCCTTCTGAAAAAAAAAAAAAAAAAAAGAAAATTACCTTCATGTAAAAATCTGAATATTTCTATTATTTTAAAAATAGTCACCCCAAACTGGAAGTATACCAAATGTTCTTCAACGGGTGAATGGATTAATTATTGTACATTCATGCAATAGAACACAGCACAGAATCAAAAAGGGACACACTATTGATACATGTGATAATGAATCCTAAAGGCATTTTGCTGAGTGAAAGAAGACAGACCCAAAAGTCTACATATTGTGTAATTCCATTTATATGACATTCTGGAAACAGCAACACTGTAGGGGTATGTGTTGCTGTGAAATGTTTATTTGTTCTTCATCCAGTTTTCTGTAATATGATTCCTAAACCCTTGGAATCTCCAAAGTGATGTCATTTTGTGTGCTAATGAATTGACTCATGGCTGGCAGCCCCTAAGTAGCTTCAGGATGGGAGCCAGTCATAGGAAAGACCAGGGCAGGATTAGAGGGTTGAGCCTTTCACTCTACCCCACAATGTCTGGGAAGAGGGAGAGGGTTTGAAGGTTTAGTTGATAATCAGTGGCCAATGATTTAATCAGTCGTGCCTCCGTAATGAGGCTTTCATGAAAACCTGAAAAGGACTTGGTTCAGAAAACTAAACAACTGAACACCTGGAGAGTCCTGGAGGGTAGGATGCCCAGGAAGAACATGGGAGCTCCTTGCTCCTTCCTCCATGCCTTGCCATATGCATTTATTTACCATATCCTGGAAATATCTTCAGATTTTTTTATTTACTTTTTTCATTGATACATAATAATTGTACATATTTAATTGTACATAGTGGTGTTTAGATATATATAATGTATAGTGATCAGAGCTGGGTAATTGTATATCTATCATCTCAAACATTTATTATTTCTTTGTGTCAGGAACATGCAATATCCTCCTTCTAGTTATTTGAAACTATTATTGTTAACTGTAGTCATCCCACAGTGGCATAGAGCACTAGAACTTGTTCTTCCTATCTAGCTATAATTTTGTATCCTTTAACAAATCTCTTCCTATCTCTCCCTTCCCACCATCTGGTATCCTGTGTTCTACTTTTTACTTCCACTGATCATCTTTTTAAGCTTCCACATATGAGTTAGAGTATGCGGTGTTTCACTTTCCATTCTTGGCTTATTTCACTTAACATAATGTCCTCCAATTCCATCCATGTTGCTTTGAATGACAGGATTTCATCCTTCTTATGGCTGAATAATATTCCATATAAACAGTAAATGTAAATAAGTGTTTCCCTGAGTTCTGTGAGCCACTAGCAAATTAATCAAACCCAAGGAGGGAGTTGTGGGAACACTGATTTATAGCCAGTCAGCCAGAAGCACAGGTAAAATAATCTGGGGCTTACAGTTGCCATCTGCAATGGGGGCAGTCTTCTGGAACTGAGCCCTCAACCTGTGGGATTTGATGCTGTGTGTTCAGATAGATCTTGTCAGACTTGAATTGGAGGATACTCAGCTGGTGTCCACTGCAGAACTGATTGCTTGCTTGGTGTGTAGGGGAAGAAAGTGCCACACGTTTGGTCACAGACACATTCTGTGTTGATTGTTATGGGGTAAGAACAGAGGAAAAATACTTTATTTTTTCTTCTCTAGTCACAGGATGGAACATAGAGCAGTTGTTTTTCTGGCCTGGGATTAGGAGGGGGATTAACTAGAAAAGGACCGCTTAAGGACATTCAGAGGATGATGGAACTCTTCTGTATGGTACTCTGTTGGTGGATACATAACACTATGTGTTTGTCAGATCACATAAAACTGTATACAGCAGAGCTGTTTTTTACTGTATGCAAATTAAAAAAAAAATCAAGCAGGAACCAAAATAGAATGCAAACTATGACAAAAGATCTAACTATATTACAAATGAGTGACCTACCCACACTGTAGGAGGTGGAGGAGAGAATCATATGTTGAGTGGATATTAAGCTGAAGACAAAAAGTACTGTATACAAGCACTGTACTCTATTGGTAATTTTTTTTCTTACCAGTATATGGGCTAACAATTCTGAAACCTCTTTACGTATGTATAAAATGTTTTGGCATACACGTACACCTAACATATATACCAGGATTGAATAAATAAGTAGCAGTTTTACTGTCAGAGACAGAATCACAGGAGGAATGCTAGAATAAACCCTGTGGATGTTGGATTGAAGTCAGAAGTATCAGTATGAATGCATGCTTTTAAATGCACACACAATGAGTTACACGCACACAGAGTAGATACAAAAGTAGATATGACTATGTTTGTATACATGGGTTAGTGTGTGTTTATATATTTCTTTACTCTGTCCACTTTGAGGGCCTATGAGCAGGGACAGCCCAGTACCAGTGAGCAACCTGGTGCCCAGATTTTGGTTTCTAACTACCATTCTCTAATAAAAGGGACCTTGGAAAGCCTTGGAAAAGTAGTTTATTCTAGTACCAGGTCAGTGGAAATACAAGATGAGCTTCAGGTATTTTGTGGTGTCAGAAAGTAGGGAAATACTTTTAAAAAGAAAGAAAGATGATACATGTCAAAAGGATACAGGAGCCAACCCGAAAGATCTCCCAGTGGTCAACGCTATAATCATGAGCTACAAAATAACAATAATATTGGATTATGGCCCAGAGAATAAAAAATACCCATGAGGGTGGGGCGCGGTGGCTCATGCTTGTAATCTCAGCACTTTTGGAGGCCAACACGGGCGGATCACAAGGCCAGTAGTTCAAGACTAACCTGGCCAACACAGTGAAGCCCCATCTCTACAAAAAATACAAAAATTAGATGGGTGTGGTGGTGGGCACCTGTAATCCCAGCTACTTGGGAGGCTGAGGCAGGAGATTGCTTGAACTTGGGAGGTGGAGTTTGCAGTGAGTCGAGATGGCATACTCCCAGACTTAAAGAAAAAAACAACCCATGAGTCCATACTGCTATGAATAAATGATTGAATAGATAAATGGGAGAGAAAGAACAACTATTCCTTATAGAATTATTACAGATAATAAATGTGGACGGAATGAGGGCGATAGAAAATCACCATGGGAACACCACTGTAACACTTGCTTCAGTGAGACTCACCAATGAATGCAAAATTAATGGGCAGAACCTTAATAAATAAATATTTACCTAAAAAATCCTCTCCCCCAAATAATACTTAAAAATAGTGACTTTATGATGGAGAAACCTGGCAGCCATGCCCTCATATAAATGATGAAGGTTACCATCACCAGTAATCAGATACTGTGTCTTCCCTGCATATGCTGCACTGAAATGAGCATATCACCTCTGTGGTCATTGCCCTACACATCCACAAGCACATCTAATTATGGGAAAACATAAGACAATCCCAAAATGACGCACATTATTCAGAACACCTGACCAAGACTTCAAAAGTGTCAGGGTCATGAAAGACAAGGAAAGACAGCGCTGTCACAGGTCAAAGGAGCCTAACGAGAGACAGCACAGCTCTGTCCAGCGTGGGGTCCTGGATCGGATCCCAGACCAGTGTAAGGAAATGAGCTGAACAGCCAGTGAAACAGAAGTCTGTAGTTTAGTTAATAGTGTTGTGCTAATGTCAGATGCTTGGTGTTGATCATTATACTGTGATGATGTGGATGTGAATATTGGGAAGTTGTGTGAGGGGTATTTGGGAACTCCGTTTTATCTGTGCAGCTCTTCTATATGTCTAGAATTATTTTAATATAAAAAACCTTTGTTTTAAAGCTAACCAATGAAGAAAAGGGGAGAATACATGTTCTTTGGTGAAAAGATTGGAAGTAACTGGTGTAGAGGAAGGAACATCAAGACCAGAAAGGGACTGTGCCTCCGTAAGGCACACTTTCATTTTACAGCAGGTTAACTGAGGCTCAGAGAGCTTGGGAGTCTTGGCCAAGGACACAGTGCAAGTAGCTGGAGAGCAGGACTGGGACTGGGCTTCCTGACTCAATGTGCCACTATTTGATCTCACCCTTTCTCTGCTCCAGAGTTGGATTATCCTGTAATTGTTCTGATAATGCTGTTTCTGCTTTGCATATTTTTAAAAGTAGATTTCATAGCCCTGGTTAAACATCATGTTGAGTCAAATACTACCCATGTTCCCTGTTGTAGGTGTCTGTGTTCATCATTTCTACCCTCCAGGCGATGGCTTATGTATTTGCATTACTGTGTTCAGCAGAAATTGGAGACCAGCAAAAGGCCTCCGTCTGGAACTTCCACTACCTCCAAGAGTACCTCCCCAACCCTCACGCCCTCCCCTTCACCCAAAGGGCACACTGCAGAGTCCTCAGTGTCTTCCTCCTCGTCCCATCGGCAGTCCAGGAGCAGTGGGGGCTCCAGCAGTGGCACCATCACAGATGAGGGTGAGTCCCCTGACAGCCTGAAACACCCCACCTATTCCTCTCACCACGATGACCTGGCAGCAAGGAACTGCAAGGTGACCTTAATTGCTATAACCATCCTAGGTCAGGTTTTAAGAAAATTTACAATGAACATATCCCTCCTCTTCTCTGATTCTACCTTTTATTTTAGTCTTCACTGTGCAAAAGATATGGTAACCTCCCTCAAAGAGTTTTTGAGTATAGGTGAAGCATACACCCTTGAAAATGCTTCTCCAGCACTAACGTATTTACTTTCCCTGGACCCTGTACCAGTCAAGATTCTTTCAGTTGCAAGTGAGAGAAACTCCACTCACACTGGTTCAAGGAAAAAAAAGGAACCTAACAATTCAATGGCTCATACAATGTGAGTGTCTAGGGTGTGCCTCAGCCATGTCTGAATCCAGGTGCTTTGGGAATGTTTCTCTCCAGGTCTCAGGCAGGCTCTCTCCAAGTGATGGCAAGCAGCTTCAGGCATACTTTTTTGTCTTCCTGCTAATTTTTCAACCCCAGAAGAAAGAGTGCTACCTTCTCAGTAGATCCAGCAAAATCCCAAGTGTAAAGGTCATTGGCTTGACTGTATTTAGAATGTGTTGATTGGCCACGCCCCCGGGTCAATTGTCTGCTTTGGAGCTGGAGTTGGGGTCCAACCTGCTGACATTTGTGTATTAGAAGTGGGAGAGAAATAGTTTCTCAAAGCAAAATTTGGAAATACTGTTTCCAGGAGAAGGGGGATGGATGAGGGCAAGCAAAAGTAATTGTTGTCCGCTGAAGCCAGGAGAGCCTTGGAACCTGCCTTGTGAATTCCAGGCTCCACAACCCCCATGCAGGGGATGAAGTGGGTGGCAGGGCAGGAGCAGAGGGTTTGCAGTCAGGCCGTGGGAAAGATAAAGGCAGATGAAGAAAGGAATCCATCCTTTTAAACTGCCCTCTGGTGGCCCCCAGGAGCTGAGAGGGGGAAGGAGAGAAGGAGGGAGCTATGGTGAGACCTGGGGCCCTGGCAGGTGCAAATGGAGGAGTATAGACCAAGGAGGAAAATCTGACTGTATGTCAGAGTCACCGGGACTATAGGCACACAGATCACAACACCCAGCTAATTACTTTCAAATTTTATCTGAGATGAAATCTCGTTAGTGCCAGGCCTGGTCTTGAACTTTTGGGCTCAAGTGACCTGCCATCCTTGGCCTCCCAAAGCCCCGGGATTACAGGCGTGCACCACCTGCCTGGCCCCTGTCAGCCTTCCTATTGTCTGTTTTGGTATCTGTTGAGTCCTCCAGTGCCTAGTCTGTCAAATCTCAATTGACTATGTGAGTGAATATTTCTCCAAGCCCCTCAGGTGCTGGTCTTGTCTCCTTTTCTTTATCCTCCCTGTCCTGACACCCCATATCTTCCCCTAGTGCCCTTCTGGCTCTGCTGTTCCACGTAGATGCCTTTTTCTTTCAGGAAGGCCACAGCCTCTGCACACTTGAGCCAAACCCTGGCTCTGGTCTGAAGCCCACCACCTTCTTTCTTAAGTTCTTCCTCAGACTAGCTGAGGACTCACTGGCATTGGCATATACTGCAGGTGTTGGCATTTACGATGCCTTCTTGCACAGAAGGAGGCAGAGTTTTAGTTCTGGCAGCTGGAACTCCGAGAACTTGAGGGTCACAGTCTGGAGGGAATCAGTCAGTCCTGGCCCTGACTGTCCGTGTTTTTGCAGCCTGATGTGGAGTTTTGGCGATTGCTGAGGGCCTGCTTTGAGGGGAAGAGGGAGGGTGCAGGTAGCTCAGGACCTACCTCCAGCCTCATCTGCAAGAGGCTGGCTGAGATCAGCTTTCTGTGTTGGTATTTCTTATCTAGAATTTCATTTGAAATAAGATTACCACTACTTTATAGAAGTTTAAAGACCACTTCTTTGCTACATTTTACCAAATTCTAAAATGTGTTGTTTTTTTTTTTTTACCTTTCCCTCTTGAAGATGAACTGACTGGAATCCTTAAGAAATTATCCCTTGAGAAATATCAGCCCATTTTTGAGGAACAGGAGGTAAGGATGCTCTTTTTGAATGTCAATTTAAATCTTATTGTAAAAGAAAACTTTGTCTAAATGTGTAGGTTTTCATTTTGCAAGCCTAGATTGATCTCTTGCACTGAGACAGCTGAGGAAATAGAATTTGTGCTCAGCGGGTCTAGCTCAGTTTGTTATTGTGAAATCCTGGGGACTTATGGTTTGCTTTGTTATGGTAGAATTTTGTCATTTTGAGCACTGCTCCCTCTAGAAAAGTTTCTTTCTCTCCTGAAAACATTTTTTTTTGTTGCCTGTGATTAACTGGCAGAGTTATAGGCTTAAAGTGGGCTGATTGTAAAACCTAACGGAACCTGTGTAATGTGTCTGTAATGTAGGGTCTGTGGTAGTCGGAGAGAGTTGCTGTTTTTTTGGAAGCATTCAGATTCACATTAAAAAAAATTACTGTTCTGCAGTTTGGTACTTCCTCAAAATATTAAACATAAGAGTTACCATATGACTCAGCAGTCCTACTCCTAGGTATATTCCCAAGAGAAATGAAGACGTATGTCCACACAGAAACTTGTACACAAATGCTCATAGCAGCATTATTCATGAAAGCCAAAGTGTAGATACCATTCAAATGTCCATTGACTAATGAATGGATAAATAAAATGTGCCTGTGCCATGGAATACTATTCAGCAGTGAAAAGAATGAAATACTGGCACATGCTACAACATGGGTGAACCTTGAACACGTCTTGCTAAGTGGAAGAAACCAGTCACAAAAGGCCACATAGAGTGTGCTTCCATTTATATGAAATGTCCAGACGAGGCGAATCTATAGACACAAAAAGTAGATTCGTGGTTGCCAGAGAATTGGGTGGAGGGGTGGGCGGGCAGAATGGACCGAGTAGGGAGTGACTAGAATGATACATGGTTTCTTTTGGGGGTGATGAAAATGTTCTAAAACGGAGTGTGTGGTGATGGTTACACAACTCTGTGAATATGCCAAAAATCATTGAATTGTATAAATAGGCAAATTGTATGGTGGATGAATTATATCTCAGTAAGCTGTTAAAAAAAATTTACTGTTTTAACCAAGTAAAACTCCTCCACGGGCCCACCAGCCACCAAGGCATAATCACTGGTTTAGAACATTCTAGTGAGTAGCTTAGTAGGTGAAAACTGTCACAATTGCAGAGCAATCGTGAGAATCACTCATTGTCCCCACCAGGCTTGAGGTGCAGTTGAGGAGCTTGTATTCAGGAAACAAACAGAGGGTGCAGTAGCTTTCCTCCTCCTGTTTGCTTTTCTGCCGTATGCAGTCTGCCATTCCTGCCTCCCTGGTGTTTTAAACCTTAGCAATGACTTTCTCCAAGAAACCTTTCCTGATTGCCGCCTGCTTTTACTGATATGTTTATGCCCTCTTGGAGTGTACAGAGAACACATCTCAAAGTACACTTCTGCTTCTTGAGGTATCGTGTCTCTGGCTCGTAAGGTGACATTTGTTCTGATTTCTTGGCCTTACCCCTTTTTTGAGCTGGCATGTCTGCGAGTTCACCTGTCCTGCGTTGTTCAGAGGTAGTTGTGGTTGTCCAGCACAGGGAACGGAGGAATATTTCAGCTGACATACAGAGCTTCGAGAATGTTCACAGGGAGAGGAAGGCAGGCCATGTAGATTTGCTGTAGTTTTAATAACTCACCCACCTAGAAGTTTCCACAGCCTCTGGGGTCAGGAAAGGAGCTGGGGCCTGAGGCAGTGCCATGGGGAGGGCTTGCAGCCACTGGCTGTGGACTTCTCTGTGCATTAGGTTCGCATGAGGTTAGCTGAGACATTGTCCTTGTTTCTGCCTGACACAGGTGCCTATGCTTGCTGGGGGCCAAGCTGAGTGGCTCCTCCTTTTATTTAGTTTCTCTCTGGCAACATATGAGCTGGCTACACTGTGGGGGTGCACTCTCTATATGGACCCACAACCCAGTGTTCCACTTGGAGGCTTTAGTAGAACTGAGGTTTTAATCCTGCTGATTGCCACCCCCCTTGCCTCCAGACCCAGTGGCCATAGCTTCAGGGGTACTTCTTAGTCCCTTGCTGAAACTCCTGGAAGTATCTGGCATGTACATAGCACTTTTCCCTAGTTTCTACCAATAAACAGTTCTCCCTGTTTATATGCACTTATAGTCATCAGTGACAATTTGGAAGAGGAATGAAGTTAATTCATGTTCTCATCTTGCCATATTGAAACTAAAGGCAGACTAATAATTTTCATCTTTCTACCTGTATTAAGGTGGATTTAACTATGCGTATTGAAAAAGACGAAAATGATGGTACCTTAAACAAAATATAAGGTGATTTTTTTTTTTCCACAGAAAGTTTGGACATGAGTCATCTAGGCTCCTTCTAGCTCTCTGCTCCACCCCCACTAGTGTATGTGACATGTATCCTCAAAGTCCAATATGGCTGCTGGAGCTCCAGCCATCACATCCACATTCCAGGCAGCAGGATGGAAGGAGACTGCAAAAGGACACATTCCCTCCTTTTTAAAGAGACTTCCCCAAAGTCCCACCCAGTCTTGTATCTCATTTACCAGAAGTTTATCACCTGACAATACTTATCTGCGAACGAAACTCAGAAATATAATGTTTTAACTATGTGGAAATGTGCCCAGCTAAAATTTGGGATTCTGTTGCTTAAAAAAAAAATAGGTCATGAATATTGAAAAGATACTGGGGTATTTCTGCCTCATTCCTGCTACTCCTTCACAAGTAGTCACAGGAGAGGAATTCCATCTCTGGTGCCCTCTGTGTTGAATAAGCCATGAGGGTTTGGTATCCCCCAGGGTTGACGGAGGTCAGAATTGGGAAGGTCAGGGCAGATGGAGAGTCAGAAGACTGATTGATGCAGTCATTCATTCAGTCAGCAAACACATACTAAGTACTTGAGACTCTGCCCGCCATACCCTCTGCCAGAGCCTAGTGCTGGGAAATACAGATGCCTGGAATACTCTGGAGCCCAGTGAAATGAGAAGACCTGGGCTGAGAGCTAAGCTGAACTTTGGAGAAATGGGGGGAATGGACCCGGAAGGGCTCCTGGGAGAGGGAGCAGGACTCATCGAGGGAGGCCATGGCACGCTGGCTTGGCTGGAGTGGGACCAAGGCAAGCCCATCAGGAGGACGGAGTGGAGGTTGACCAGGCAGGGCCTGGACAGCGTGCACTTGCTTCTGTGCACCACAGGCTGCAAGGTAGATGCTGGCTGGAAAGGTCTGTAGCCTCTTTTGTGGAGGTGGACAGGGGTTGGAGAGGCAGAAAGGGAAGAATAACTGGGAGGGAGAAACCAGTTAGGAGGTGGAGGGCCCCTCACCAAGAGAGCAGGTGTGGAGGATGTCAGAGTTGCTGAGGACTGGCCATGGTGCCAGGCTGAATGTGGGGTCCCTGCTAGGGGTTGGGTTGGTGGGGAGAGACTTGTGTCCAGCAGGGCCGGGTCACATGGTTTCCATTAAAACTACATCACCCATCCGTTCAGCCCCTCAGCACTCTGTGAGCTATAAAGCACCCAAGAGATGCCAGGAGCTTACTTTTGCCAGAGAGGTGGGGGTGCCTGCCTCTCAGAGAGGGCTAAGGACTGGTTAAGGGAACAGACTCTTCCCCAGTGACTTAAACCTGACTCAAGGTTTGTGTTTGTTTTTAATCCAGAAAAGTAAAATGACTGTTAACAGAGAAAAGGAAAGAGGGGGGGGGGGGGGGGGACAATTTCAGAAAGAAAATCTCTATCCCTCCATAAGTCAAATGTTTTAAAGTAAAAAAAAAATTTAATCTTGTTAGGTATGAGGGAATAGAAAATAAAGCCTGCTTATAAAGTAAAAGACTAAGGATTCTCAAGAAGTTATGGAAGTTTTATTTTAAATGACAATAGCATATCTCTAAAGTGTAATAGTGTCTCATAGTTTGTAAATGTAGATCGTAAAGGTGTTTGTAAACTCTCTTTATAGATCCCACATCCACCCTGTGATTTATACGGTGGGCTTGTTTGTAATTTTTCGGTGGGGAAACTGAGGTAAGCCACCTGCCCAGTTCCCCCGGCAGTGAGTAGGAATTGGCACCGTATCTGTCTCCAGGACAACACTGCCCCCTCCTCCTCAGCTCCAGCTGGAGACATGCGTGTGGGCAGCCAGTTCTTTGTCCCATCTCCCAGAGGAGCGCTGTTGTTGGAGTCTGATTTGTGAAGCTGTAGTGTTGTCTGCAACAGCAGCTCCGCAGGGGGAAAGGCTGGACCAGGGACCCAATCCCTTAATGCTAAGGGAAGGTCAAGTCATGTTAACAAGGGGGCTGCTGCCCTCAGGAAAAGCCCATAAGGGAGGCCAGGGAATCTGCAGCTGAAGGGTGACGCAGCATTGTGGAGAAAGGCGAGGATGCTGGAGCCCTCTGCCAGGGTTCAAAGCGGAGCTCTGCCACTTACTAGCCATGTTACTTTGAGTGCTAAAAACAAAACAAAACAAAAACAAACAAAAAAAACTCTGCCTCAGGTTTCCCTGTCTCCAAAATGGGGAAAATGATCTGCCCCTCTGATGTCATGAGGGTTAAATGACTCATCTGTGTGAAGTCCTCAGAAGGTGCTTTGCACACATTGCACTGACTGCCCTCCTCTGGTCTGACGGTGAGACTGGCTTCCCAGTGGACCTGGATTGGATCCTGCCAGGTGTGGACCCCCATGCCAGAGGTCGCTGTTGGACATGCAGGGTGATGGATATGCATGCTTCATCTGAGCCCCTTCCGACCTTTCCTCCACCTTGCCGTAGAGGAACAGAAGCCAGTGGAGCAGAGGGCCTGATTTCCTGCCCAGGCCCAGTCAGGGCTGACAGCTGTTAGGACCTCACCCATAGAAACCAAGGCTCGCACAGTTTTGAGATGCCCTTATTCTGAGCTCTGCTCTCATTCTCCACAGCCCTATCTCCTTTATTGCTTCTGCTTATTTCCTCACTCTGTCTTTCCACAGTCTGTCTCTGTCTCGTGCGTGGTGGGGGAAATGAGGTGAGTACTGCCATACGTTTGTACAGTATCTGATATTGTTATAAGTGCAGCAACATTGCAGTTACCTTTCTAATAGCAGGATTTGGATTCCTCCTGTTCTAGCCACCCGGATGACTATCTCAGAGATTTTCCTCAGTTGGCTCATTTTAAGGGTCTTCCTAAAATGTATCTGTTAAGAAAATCCAAGAGCTAGATCTGAGGAGAGTTTGTTTTTTAAAAATGTTTTCAATGAAGCTTTAAACGTAAAGTGAGGACAGAGGAGTAGTAAATCATTATCAGTTTACTACTAATAAGCACTCACCGCTCATAACCCTGAGATTTCTGTTGGGGCTGGGAAGAAAGTATGGCATCCAGCAGATGGTGGCGAATCCCCTCTCTCCTTCCAGGTGGACATGGAAGCATTCCTCACGCTGACTGACGGCGACTTGAAGGAGCTGGGAATTAAGACAGATGGGTCCAGACAGCAGATTCTGGCAGCGATTTCTGAACTGAACGCAGGCAAGGTATTGTTCTCTGTTTGTTGCATTTCCTTGTGTCAGACATCTGAGAGCATCACCAGGGTCCTGGGATCTTGGGAAGGTCTTACTTCCTCTCCTCTGTCATATGTGACGATGAGCAGGCACTCACTACCTCCCAGCATGACCTGTTCCATTTTCAGACTTCTTCCCCCAGGAGGTTTCTCCCCAGATGCAGCTATAAATCTTCACTCAGCTAGTGTCAATGCATAGGGCCAGGTGTTGCCCTCGGGAGCACTGTGAAAGCAGAGCCTTCAAGCCTTTGGTTCAGATGTGCCCTGGGGTCAGGCTGGCCTGGGTTTGAATCCCAGCTCCTTCACTTTACTCACTGTGTGGGTTGAGGCAGACACCTCTCTGAGCCTCGCTGTCCCTGTCTGTAAGGTGAGGATGATGGAATTGTGGCAAGGACTAAAATGCTCAGCAGAGCTCCTGGCACACACACAGCCGTCAGTCACTGTTGTTGGCTTCTCACAGTTTTGTCTTATGTTAAATTTCTCATCAGCTTTAAAGCTAAAGATATCAGTGCCCCCACCCCATGCCCAACCAAAGGCACACACCAAAAACTAAAAGAAAAAAGGCGAATCACCACTTACATTGCAAGCTTCGTTGTAGTTGCTGTTGGGCTATTCGAACTCCTTCGTCGTCCCCCTTTTTTCTTAATATAGGATGCCCCTTTCTGTTTCTTATTCCAGCAGCAATGCGCAGTACCTGTTTACCTGCTGCCACACTTTGCCTAGCAACTTGCCACTTGTTGGACGATAGTTTCATGCCTGGAATTTTGCTATTATAAATATTGCCATAATGGATATCTCTGCCTTTTTCCTCTTTCTTTCTTTTTATTTGTTCCTTGAGCTGCCTTCCACGATGTGCAGTGATAGCAGAGAGCATGGCCATTTTTATGGTTCTTTCTGTATGTCGCTGGACTATGCACAGAAATACTGAACAGACCCATAGCACCAGCAGCAAATAAATGTTTACCCAGCACTTTATCCTTTATAAATCATTGCATATGTTTCCTCATCGGTCTTTGGAGACAGCGCAGGGAGGCTGGTGTCCTTACACTTACCTCGTCTGGCTGGCGAGGGTGCAGAGTCATGGTGCACAGGTCATGCGGTGGTGGGCAGTGGAAACGGAAGCTAAACCAGGCCTCCTGCCTCTCTCTCTCCACCTTTGCAGCGCAGTGTGCTGTGCAGAGGCAGCTCCTCCCAGCCCTGCCAGGATTGAAAGTAGTTCTTTTTGTTGTCGCCATAGTCATTCGTATTACCTGCCTGAAGGCTATGAGGTGATCCTTCAAAGCAATGCCCTTAGCATTGCTTCGGGCATCCCAAGGCCAAACAGCTTTCCTCCAGTCTGAACTAGTTCTTTCTCCTCTGTAAATGGCCTGACTCTCAACATTTCTTGCTTGTTGTATGGGCCTGAACCCACCTCACTTTACGTATGGGGAAGCCCAGCCTCAGAGTTGGGCAGTGATGCCTGACTTCCAGACCAGTACCACTTCTGCTCTGCTGTTAGATGTCAGCGGGGAGGGCAGGGGAGGCAAGGCAGGTATGGAGCTTGTCAGAAGCAGGCAGGTCTGGGCTGTTAGGAAGGGCATCATCCAGGAAACTGAAGCCTGAGGGTGGCTCACAGAAGGCGAATCAACCAAAACAATCTTTAAAGACTGGGACATTAATTTATTCATGAAAAAGAGCCTTTGTGTCTCAGGCACCATGTGGGTATTGACCATTCAGCATCACTCCATGCCTAGCGTTGTGCCCTGAGCATGTCACACATTATAATTATTCATTTAATCTGTATGAAAGCTGCTGAGGTCAGTTTCAGTTTATAGATGAGGAAACCAAGGCTCAGAGAAGTTGAGGGATTCACCCAAGAGCACCAGCTGCCTCGGTGTAACTAACCCACAGCACATAAAGGAGAGGTGGGTGGTGCTATGAGAGCCCCTGGCTTATAGCCAGGGCTGACATCCCTGAGGAAGTGGCAGGGCAGCTGAGGTGTGAAGCAAGAGTGGAAACCACTGGGTAGAGGGGTAGTAGAAAAATGCAGACCGCAGAGGGAAGTACACGTGCAGAGGCCCTGTGGTGAGGTATGCAGTGTGTTTGAAGAACTAAAGAAATGGCTGGAACACAGAGCAAGAGCCATGACATGTGGGGAGGCCCAAGGAACAGAGCAAGGCCACCAGGATGGTAGAGAGTGACTCAGTCTAGTAAGGGAAAGGGCTTTGGGGAGGGGAGGTGGGCGAGTGATGGGGAGGGGCTATGGCCCAGGCAATAGAGGACCCTTCCTCCTCCTGGCCTCCAGAGGCCAGATGTGTGAGCCAAGGAGAGGATGGAGTGGGGAAATTTTAGGCTTAAGCTGATTAAGAAAGAAGGACGGAAAAGGTTCTGGAGGCAGGACCAGTGAGAGGCCAGGAGCTGATGCCACCAGATGGCAACTGCTAATGCTTCTGGAACCTCCCCTCTGCCCTCTGTGGCTATGGCCTCCTTGGCCCAGGATCACAAAAAAGCAGACAGACTGGGCTAGTTTGCAAACCTTAGGAAACTTAACTGGCATCATCAGAGTGAATGATGATGACATCTTGAGCACATCCCAATGGAGGACATTCTTAAAGTTTTACAGACTGGGGCCTTTTTTTCAGTTTCCTCTCAAATTCATTGCCCCCCTATTATTCCCTGTTCTGTAGCAGTCTGTATCCTATACTAAACAGGCCCCATCAGGAGAAGCAGAAGAAACAGCTGATAGTGGTCCTGCTTAGGGGCCCAGTTCACCAGCTTCCAACCAAGAGGCCCAGGTACCTGCAACATGCCAGGCCAAGGACACCACTTAGTCCCACCCATGTCCCTCCAGTAGGCAGCATCCACCCTGCAAAGTCAGGCAGTTCCACACAGTAATAGGTGCAAGGGGAAGGAGCTGATCTGAACCACTTCCCTGGAGAAAGACCCTGTTATTCAAGAGTAAACAGTACCAGATAAAGTCCTCTGGAAGTGAAAACCACATATCATCATGAGTTACACAGAAAAGACATGTTTAGGAGAAGTGTAATAGTACAAAAGCCAATTTAACTTCTGCTACATTTTTCTAAGTTAGCACTGCAACAGTGTGCTGGTTCTTAGATGTGCAAAGAACTCTTCAGGCCAAAGGTGGCTTCCAAGAACCGCTTCAGTGCCCTTACAGCCTTCAGATGCACTGGGCTTTGGGTATTCTAGACTGGACTTGCCTGACCCTGACATCAGGGGTTCCTGCCTCTTTAATTTTGCTATAGGGCATGAACTTCTCTTTGTAACATTCATACCCTTTCTTTTGTGACACAAGCATAGATAACCGAGAGATTACCTGTTGTAGCTCAAGTGCTCAGTACACATTGGAGAGCCCAGACCAGGACACATGAGAGGGCGAGGCCCAGCTTTCCTTGCCCCAGTGTCTTTCTAGCTGTGGTCCACAGCACGCTGGTGGGTTTTATATAATCCATTTAATGGGGCATGAGCAGCATTTTAGAAAATAAAATAGAAAATAGCAACATGCTTTTGCAGATAGGACAAAATGTTTCAGTTATATGTGTTTACATGAAAACAGGGTGTGATGTAAAATGCATTTTTTACATAATTAATAAGAGTGAGCATTTTGGCCTAAAAACTTTTTTAAATGCCTATTAACCAAAAACCTGGCTCATAATATAATATCAGCAAGTCTTATTAGGCCCAGCAGTATCAGTAAAACGTGGACCCTCAGCCTGCAAGTCATGTCACTTCCAGATGAGGCCACCCCAGTGTTGGAATTGTAATGTATGCTTGAGTCTGCTCATTAGTTTGTTAGTTTTGAACGAGTTTCATATTGGAGGTTTACCAGAAGTGAGGAGTTAGTTGGTCCTAAGCCGTTATTTCTTTCTGTTGCCCTTTTTTGTGATTGTCAATGCAGTACATACTTATTTTATTAAATTTACACAGTACCAAAATGGTGAAAAGAATCGTTTTTAAGAAATCACGGTTCACTCAGAGGCCAACGGTGTTCACCGTTGGGCAGATTACTCTGCAGTGCTTTGTGTCCTTTTTGTTTTATTTTTTAAAGAGAGGAAGTCTGCCTGTGTTGCCCAGGCTAGCCTCAAACTCCTGGCCTCAAGGGATCCACCCACCTCAGCCTCTTGAGTATCTTGGTTATGGGCACGTATTACCACATCCTTAAATTTGTTTTAAACATGACTAAGATAAACTTGGGTCTGTAATTTTATATCCTGCTTTCTTTAACATGAAATATATGCAGCTACTCATGTCATTAAGAACTATTTTTTCATATAAATTTGCATAGATGTGCTAAAATTAATTTTAAAAAAATTTCTACCTGTTATGTAAATTTTCAAACTTTGTATAAATGGTGCTGCAATGGACAGCTTTGTGTCTAAGGCCTTCTAATCACCTCCTCACAATAGATGTCTAAAAGTGGAATTACAAGAGTCCAAGAGTCAGAATCAAGGTATATGTACATCCGAATAACTTTCTGGAAAGAGCCAGTGAGCAGTTCGACTAGCTGTGAGTGTGTGAGAGCTTGTTATTCTTTTCACTGCAGCTTTGCCAGTATTACTATCAGTTTGTTTTTTAATCTTTATAATAATTTGATAGGTAAAAAAATGTACCTTGTTTTAATTTGCACTTTTTGAAATACTAGATAGGTGAATCTTTTTTCTACATTTAGCTGTTTGTTTTTTTTTCCTTTTGAGAATTATCAGGCAGGTCCCTTGAATCTTAGGGATTTTTAAAGGGCAGTTATCATTATCATCTTCAATCAGTTGTTGATCCAGGAAACGATTATGGTTTTAATCATCTACAGCTCCCTCCTAAGGTTAGCAGGCAGCAAGGGCCGGAACCCTATCTCGCCCTGACCTCATTTCTCAGGCAATTAAGGCTAAGGTGGTGTACAATAACAAAATTGCTGTCAACCCTTCCATTTATCTTTGAGCCCTCTGCAGTTTGCACAGTGCCACCCCATTCATTATCTCAGGGTGAGCTTCAGCGCTGCCTTGGCAGGTAACATTATCCCCATTTTACAGATACTTAGCGGAAAAGGGGCGGGCCTGGATGCTGGCACTAATCAGTGGTAGAGTGGGATCCAGATCCTCTGACTTGGCCTCCGATGCTCTTCATACCCTGCAGCCTTTGGATCTTGTCAATAGAATCTGGAGGGCATTTTTCCAGCTTATTTAAAATTGCTTGGATGGGTTGGGATAAAGGGAGAATCTTAATGTCCTCTTGAGTCTAGGAGGCCTTGTCCACCCAAGAGGTGTCTGTGTAGGGGTCTGGAGAGGGGCCCCTCTGGACTGGGGGGGAGTCCATGAAATAAAAGAAAGTTTGAAATCTGGGCTCATTCAGTGAATTTTTTCCCCCTTTTCACTCTTAGTAGAGAACAATCTGCCAGACATGATACATTTTTAATTTACTTTACATTTCGATTTTGTTTATTAATTTTAAAAAATATGTTTAATCCACTGCTGCCCTCTGAAGATAGAACCTGTCTGCCTCCAGCTACCCACACAGGGTCTGATGGGTAAATGTGCTAAAATTAATTTTTTTTAAATTTCTACCTGTTGGTTATATAGATTTCCAAACTTTGTATAAATGGTGCTGCAGTGGGCAGCTTTGTATGTGAGGCCTTGTAATCATCTCACAGCCATCACCTGAGGGGCTGTTATCATCCCTGTTTTCTAGATGAGGAAACCAAGGCCCAGGGAGATTAAGTATCTTGCTCAGGGTGACCCAGCTAGCAAATAAGAGAAATGGACTCTGAACCTACACTGTGACAGGGTCTTGCTCTTTTGCCCAGGCTGGACTTGACCTCCTGGGCTCAAGTGATCCTCCCACCTCAGTCTGCGACTAGCTTGGACTACAGGTATATGCTGCCTTGCCCAGCCCAATCTCTGTTCTTTGTTTTTTTATAAAAAGGTTTTTTTTATTTCTATAGGTTATTGGGGAACAGGTGGTGTTTGGTTACATGAGTAAGTTCTTTGGTGGTGATTTGTGAGATTTTGGTACACTCATCATCCAAGCAGTATACACTGCACACTATATGTAGTCTTTTATCCCTCACCCCCTTGCCACCCTTTTCCCCTCTGTCCCCAAAGTCCATTGTGTCATTCTTACGCCTTTGCATCCTCATAGCTTAGCTCCCGCTTATGAGTGAGAGCATACAATGTTTGGTTACTTCATTCCTGAGTTACTTCACTTAGGTAATAGTCTCCAGTCTCATCCAGGTTGCTGCAAATGTCATTAATTCATTCCTTTTTATGGCTGAGTAGTATTCCATCATAGATATCTATAAATATAACAGTTTCTTTATGCACTTGTTGATTGATGGACATTTGGATTGCTTCCACATTTTTTGCAATCGTAAATTGTGCTGCTATAATCGTGTGTGCAAGTATCTTTTTCATGCAGTGACTTCTATTCCTCTGGGTAGATACCCAATAGTGGGATTGCTGGATCAAATGGTAGTTCTACTTTTAGTTTTTTAAGGAATCTCCACACTGTTTTCCATAGTGGCTGTACTAGTTTACATTCCCACCAGCAGTATAGAAGTGTTCCCTGATTACTGCATCCCCACCAATATCCCCTGTTTTTTGATTTTTTTATTATGGCCATTCTTGCAGGAGTGAGGTGGTATCACATTGTGGTTTTGATTTGTATTTCCCTGATCATTAGTGATGTTGAGCATTTTTTCATATGTTTGCTGGCCATTTGTATATCTTCTTTTGAGAATTGTCTGTTCATGTCCTTAGCCCACTTTTTGATGGGATTGTTTTTTTTTCTTGTTGATTTAGTTGAGTTCATTATAGACTCTGGATATTAGTCCTTTGTCAGATGTATGGATTGTGAAGATTTTCTCCCACTCTGTGTGTTGTCTGTTTACTCTCCTGTTTCTTTTGCCATGCAAAAGCTCTTTAGTTTAATTAAGTTCCAGCAATTTATCTTTGTTTTTATTGCATTTGCTTTTGGGTTCTTGTTCATGAAATCCTTGCCTAAGCCAATGTGTGGAAGGGTTTTTTCAATGTTATCTTTTAGAATTTTTATAGTTTCAGATCTTAGATTTATGTCCTTAATCCATCTTGAGTTGATTTTTGGATAAGGTAAGAGATGAGAATCTAGTTTCATTTTTCTACATATGGCTAGCCAACTAACACCAGCACCATTGGCTGAAAAGGGTGTCCTTTTCCCACTTTTTGTTTTTGTTTGCTTTGTCAAAGGTCAGTTGACTGTAAGTATTTGGGTTTATTTACGGGTTTTCTATTCCGTTCCATTGGTCTGTGTGCCTATTTTTATACCAGTACCATACTGTTTTGGTGACTATGGCTTTAGAGTATAGTTTGAAATCAGGTAGTGTGATGCTTCCAATTTGTTCTTTTTGCTTAGTCTTGCTTTGGCTGTACGGGCTCTTTTTTGGTTCCATATGAATTTTAGAATTGTTTTTTCTAATTTTGTGAGGAATGATGGTGGTATATTGATGGGAATTGCATTGAATTTGTAGATTGCTTTTGACAGTATGGTCACTTTCACAGTATTGATTTTACCCATCCATGGGCATGGGAATGTGTTTCCATTTGTTTGTGTCATTTATGATTTCTTTCAGCAGTGTTTTCTAGTTTTCCTTGTAGAGGTCCTTCACCTCCTTGGTTAGGTATATTCCTAAGTATTTTATTTATTTATTTATTTATTTTGCAGCTATTGTAAAAGGGGTTGAGTTCTTGATTTGATTCTCAGCTTGGTTGCTGTTGCTGTATAGAAGAGCTACTGATTTATGTCCATTAATTTTATATCCGAAAACGTTACTAAATTCTTTTATCAGTTTTAGGAGCTTTCTGGAGCTGTCTTTAGGGTTTTCTAGGTCAACAATCATATCATCAGCAAACAGTGACAGTTTGACTTCTCTTTACCAATTTGGATGCCCATTCTTTCTTTCTCTTGTCTGATTGCTCCGGCTAGGACCCAGTCTCTGTTCTTAACCTCTGAGTTTTGCTGCTTCTCAGCCTGGTATGCAGTGATGATGTTTTCTGGGCTTAACAGAACATTCACATCACCTTTTTGTCTCATCTGAAAATGTGTGTATAAGGGGGAAGGGGGTGTTGTAGGAATACAGTGAGAAGTGAATCTCTGTGAAGAGGAATCTGACAGCTTTTGGGCAAAAGGGAGCAAAGGCAGTTCAAACCCTTAATCCTGTAGCAGAAGGAAACTTGGCTCATACTGAATTTTCTGGCAATCTGAGGACTGGAAAGATGCACAGAGGTGCAGGGAAGGAGACCTGGCATCTGGGCCACGCGACTCAGGAGTTAGTCCTGTCCCGGGCCCAGCCTCCCGCTGTGTCCAGGGGCTTGGGGTCCTACATTCAGGACCTCTGCAGCACTGACAGCCTGCAATGGTGGGTGCTGGGGCGATTCTGACTCAGTATGTTTTTTTATTAAACTCGGTACTCTTTCAATTAGTAATTTATTTCCCCCAAGATGCCCATGGGTTTTTCAAGTATGAGTTGAACATTAACGACACTGTCAATTGAATTAATGGTTAAAAGGTTTAACAGGACTTTCTGTTTCTGTTTTCAATTTCCTCCACAGGGACGCGAGAGACAGATTTTACAGGAAACCATTCACAACTTCCATTCTTCCTTTGAGAGCAGCGCCAGCAACACCAGGGCGCCTGGCAACAGCCCCTGTGCGTGATCCTCCTTCCCACAGCCACCAGCGTGAGCTCTCTGAATCCCGGGACCCCTTCGCATGTCTAGGGCCCCAGCCCCACCTCCATCACACTGCTGTGCCTTAGTCACATTATTTCCGTTTGCTCGAAATGCCCCACTTCATGTCCACTGCATTCGTTGGTAGTACTTGTTACTGTAACAAACTTCATACAGAGACATTCCCATGTGACATTCCAGTGGGGGTGCTTCTGGTTGGCAGGTGGGTTCACACAGTGATGCGGGGACTCAGCTCCTTTCATCCTGTGCTCTACCCTCCCCAGGAGCCTCAGAGTTTGCTTCTGGCTGGCAGCAAGGGAAACGGACGATGGAGAAGGCACAGCTGCCTCTTACCTGCCTTGCTCTTAACTGGCACACATCACTCCTGCTTAGGTCCTCTTGGCTGCTGGTAGTCATGTGGCCCCACCTGGATGCAGAGGAGGCTGGGATGTGCAGTCTCCATAGAGTGGCTTCCCAGCAACAACTTTTGACTTAGATGGGGGGTGTGTATTATGGTGGGGGATGCCCCCCTGCCACATCTTCCCTTAAAACTTCTAACTTGTCCCTCCTGGTCCAAGTCACCTCTCAGATGAAGTCTTTTTTTTTGACCCCCTTTCAACCCCTGGGTGCCTTCCTGCTGTGTATGTGACTGTTCTAGCATTCCACTGCACCTGCTGCATCCAGCTTACAGCGCGTGTTCTAGATGCGTATGCCAAATGCATTTTTCTTTATTCCAATCTATTTTAGAGGGAGAGAAGAGGAGGCCTGCTGTGTGGATCTCTTCTCCCTAGCTTTCAGTTTCCTTATCTGCAAGGTGAAAGATCAGACCAGATGATGCTCTGCTTCTCCACAGTGCTCACCCGTATCACTGCAGGGTTTTCTGCACCGAAAGTGGAAGCAGAAGACTAATGGCTCACATTGTGAAAGAGTCTCTGGTGCTCAAAGGTTCTAACAGGCAAAGAAGTGACAAATTTGGAATTTTGTCTAGATCCTGTTAATGCTGTGTTCCTCAAAAGGGAATTGGCTTGTGTTGTTGCCTACCATATTATATCATATTATATTAGAGGGGGCCTGACTTTTAAAACCCAGTGGCTTTTGAAGTGATTTCCAATGAATCACTCATTCAGCCAGTGCTTATTGCCTTCATGTTAGATACCAGGCACCGAGTGTGCAGACACAATCCAGAGCCTTCAGGCTCTCGACAGGCAAGATAATACCTGTAAACAGACAGTCACAGCCTTGAGAGGCAGCTTGGGGGAGTGGACAGACCGTGCCCTGGACTCAGGTTCAAAGTTCACATGCAGCTCTATGGCCTCTTAGTCGGAGCTTGGAACCAGTGTGCGTGAAGTGCTGGGTCTGCAGGAAGTAGCCAGTAGATGGTAGGCTTCACAGAACTCTAGTCCCTACCCCGCGCTGCGTGAGCCACATGTTGGTCTCCTTGGGTGGTACCGTCTCTCATCTGTACCTCCCCCAGCCATGAAAGCCCACGCCCCTATGCCGGCTTTCAGAGGCAGTCGTTACCCTACTGCCCAGAGCCTCGTAGTTTTCTTCCCCTGCCCTGATAGTGGGTATTTTTCCTCTAAATCCTCTCGGCCTTCCACCCACAGAAGCCAGCTTTCCACAGGACTGAAGACAAAGTATTTCATTTATCTGTTACTGACAGACACATTTACAAAGGTTTCTCATGTCCCAGCCTTTTTAAGGAGACACACTCATTCATCACCTACTATGTGCTGGCAGCTTTACCTTTGTCATTTCATCCTCATGGCCACCCTGGAGGTGGCATTGTGTAACTTCATCTTGCACATGCAGGAAATGGATGCTCAGGAGAGGGGAGCTGCAGATCCGGTCTCAGAACCAGACCTGGTGGGCTTGCAAGTCTGTGCCTTTTCCACTAACTCCTATAGACTCCTAGAGCTAGAAGCACTTATGATTCTTGTTTTAGTTTACTGATGGCTTCAGGGATTAACAGTAGACCTAGAATTGTTTGCCTCTGAAATTCTTGGCCCCTGACATTATGTGCTTTGAGGTTTTGTGCCTGCTTTCTGCTATGGCCCTGTTTCTTTGATAACTGTATACTGGTATAGCTTACACTCAGGTAAGTTTGCTTAAACACCAATGATAAACAGGAGCTATGCCAGGGGTTCAGCTTCCCACAGATATAGACCTCCATGAATGCACTGGATGACCCTGGACAGAGCGAGGCTATTCCCATTTTGCAGACAGGACAACAGAGGCTCCAGACAATGCCTCTTTTTTCTTTTTCACTGGACTCAAGTGTCCAAGGCTTTTTCCCCTAGGCACTTTGTGTACTGGTTCACAAACGGTCCCTGGCACCCTTTCTGGGCAGGTTTGGATGTGGCTGGTAGGCAGGGAAGAGAAAGGGCACTTCAGCAGGGTCATGTGCAGAGGCAGCACGTAATGTGTAACTTATAGATCGTCAAGGAGGAGGGGTCAGTCGGGTGCTTGTTTTTCTGATTTTTGGTCCTTGGTCACCCCCTTCCCAGCCCACATGTGTCCCCAGCCTGCCTCCAGGAGGCTGTTCTCCCCACGAGAAGTACCTCCCTTGCTTGGTGACCTTCACCAGCATTTCCCAAAAGTGTGCTTCTTGGAACCCTAGTTCCACAGGAAGTTAATAGGTTTTTCATGAAGAAAAGTAGGAGGGGTGTGTATGTGAAAGTTGGGTGAGGTTCCCTGGTGGAGTAATTTGGCAGACACTGAGCTAAAGCGAGCTACGTGATCATCTTTGCTGCAGGCCTCGTATAACCTTCAGTATGCCAGCACGCCTCAGGCCTCTTCACAGGGCCAGGAAGCTTGTAGCGTCTCCCACATTACTCTGATCACTTCTCCAAGGTGCTTTTGCTAGACTGAAATTCCTTGGACACCACTGGGGAAGCCCTGCTTTGGTGGGAACAGTGGCAGCCATGAGGCCTCGCAGCCCTGGTAGTGGGTCAGGGCCGTTGGTGGCCACCTTTTTTCTCCCCAGCAGCTCTCTGCAGAGGTGGCCTACCTGGCAGTGGGACATCAGGGGATGGGGCCTGCTTTAGATGGCAGGGCCCCTGTTCCGAGAGCGCTCCATCCTGAGGCTCTCCTGTGGGGTGGAGGGCATTGTTTCCCAGCACCCACGAGTGTCTTGCTGCTGTGTCCTAGGTGCTGGTGGTCCATGTTCCCGCTGGCCAAGGAGGGCTCCTACCTCTCTACTTCAGCACCACAAAATTCTATGGAGGCCAGCTGGTTTGTGAGGAGAAAGTTTACTTTTTAATTCTTTTGTTTACTGAACGTTTACTTAGCATCTACTCTGTGCCAGCTCCACTCTTGTACTCTGCCTCCAAAGATGAAAAAGGACTTCTCTGCCCTCAAGGGAACCCCGCAGTGCCTTAGAGGAGACAAGCACATCAGTGAGATGGTGCGGTGATGAAGTGTGCTGGGTACGCCGCTCAGGGAAAGTCACCAGTGATGGCTCAGGCTCATCCTGGGCAGGCCTCAGCGCAGAGAGCTGGAGTGAGACCTCGAAGGTCAGGTTTAGGCAGGAAACAGAAAGGGCATCCCAGCTGGGGCATGTGCAAAGGCAACATGTAATGTGTAAGTTATAGATCATCAGGAAGGAGGGGTCAGTTTGGTGCCTGTTTTTCTGACTTTTGGTCCTTTGAAATGAGTAGAAGCAACCTGTTACCTTGGAAAGAGCACTGGGCCTAGAGTCAGAGGTAGTGCTGCATGACATTGAACATGTTTCTTCTTCCCTCTGAGTCTCAGTTTCCCTTTTGGTTACAAGGTGCTAGAAGCCCCCAGGGATCAGGTGAAAGTGAGAAAGCCCTTTTCACACTGTGAAGTGGTGCAGATGTGAGAAACCTCACAGATGGTTGCACATTTTAAATCCTCTCTCTTACCTCTCATCTCTCTCCCTTCTGCCTGGACATAGCCATGGCTGGGTGGGTGAGACCAGAAGAAACTGCGTCTGGCAAGAGGTAGCAGCTGCTGCAGTGGCTCTGCTGGCATCAGAGCCCATGGAAATGAGGGGTGGCCGACGGATCTGCCCTCCAAATGTGCCTGACCCTGGGTCTTGGTGTCATTGGGATTCTCAGCACAGCGGACAGAAAGAAAGACAGTTTGGCCAAGTCATAGAAGCTGATCCATTCGGCAAAAAGAGGGCAAGGAACCCGTCTCTTTTCTGCTTACCTAGGAGCTGCCTGAAGACATCATCACACAGGCCAGGTGAGAGGCTAGACAACTTTGGACATCTACACTACCTGTGCTTCCAAGTAAATGCCTCCTGAAAGGCCCGGGACCCTTCCTCAGAGGACTCTGCAGCGAGAATGAAGGTGCCGTCAGCAGAAGGCGCTGTGAAGCACCATCCTGTCACTCTCCTTGTCCATTCCTAGCAAGTTAATTGTGTCTTGTTAACCAGCAGTTCCTGTCCAACATGTAAAAAGACCTGATGTTTTCCCTAAAAAAGCTGATGCCAGATTCTGCAGGACTGGCCTGCAGAGGGAATCTCCGTGGGTGAGGTGGGTCCTCTGGCCTCAGGGGGCTCTGCTCCTCCTTAACATACAGCCTAAGAGTGGATTTATACCCGGCCTTAATTTCAGCCCCCCAGCTGAGAAGCCAGACCCAAAAATATAGTTGTTGCTAAAGCTTGGGAATGACGGAAGGGAAATCCACACAGAATCACAGGTAGTGAGCTCAAGGACAAAGCCCAGGCCACTTGTCCTCAGCTCCCTTTCCCTGGCACTATACTTCCTTCCCAAGGCTGAGACCACATCTCCCTGTCCCTGAAAACCCCCTTCCCTCCAGGACTCCCCCTCCAACTCGGGGTCCTGTCCAGGTGATTGGTGCCATCTCACATTAGCATAGGGGCCCTCCCAGGTTCCCGTTTCCTGCTGGAGCTCTCTCCCAGGGCTGAGACATAGGGCATGGCCATCCTAGTCAGGGAGGCCCTGTCTCCACCCCCAGGTGGCTGGAGTGGGTTTGGCCTTCCCCTGTAGGACCCTCACTAGGGCCACTGTTCCCACTGCCAAGAGTCTAGGATGCTATTTTTATTTTCTGCCCAAGGGAGTGAGTTTCCATTTTCCTCACCATAGACTTTGTGTAGGGACTTAATTCTTTGAAAGATTCTTGTTTATTGGCCTGTGTATATTAAATGACATGAAGTTATCTCCCCATTTTGACTGCATTCATCCAGGATGTAAAACACTGCCCATATTCCTGCCTGTGATGGCTGCTATACAGGAAGCCCCTGGGTCCACCAGGTGCAGCTTCTAAAAGTCACCTTGCCTCGTCTTCACAGGAACCCTGTGAGGTAGCCTGAAACTACCCTTTCTGTCGATATGGCGACTGTGGCACACAGATACTAACCAACTTTGCCAAGGTCACACAGCTGACCAGGGACAGCCTGGTCCGAGTGCAGGCCTGACACACTCTTCCTTGTGTCTTACTGCCTGTCGTCAGCACAGAGGGGAACGTGGAATTAGAATAAGCCCAGCCAGTATCACAAATAAAGAAAACCTGTTGTTTAGCCTCTGCAGCATGTTCACAATTTGGAGAGGAGGGCTTCTGAAAGCTATAAATAGCTTGGCGATTCTGTTTCTTTTAGGAATTCTCACAAGTGGCCTGGCACGGCGGCTCATGCCTGTAATCCCAACACTTTAGGAGGCTGAGGCAGGAGGATCGCTTGAAGCCAGGAGTTCAGGGTTGCAGTAAGCTATGATCACACCACTGCACTCCAGCCTGGGGGACACAAGTGAGACCCTGTCTCAAAAGTATGAAAAGAATTCTTGCAAGTTGGGACTGTCTTGTTGATGCTTTACGGGTCCCAGTAGCTTACATTGGTGGGCTTAGCCCTAGGGGGCCTTAGGAAGGTGGTAGGGGGAAGCTGGGAGGCCCTGGAGGCTGGGGCAAAGGTCTGGAGAGGCCATGGACAGAGGGCCAGTGCTCCATGAGAAAGAACATTTCAGGGACCTGAGCTGCCCAGGGATGGGAGCATTCCTCAGGCAGGCACAGAAGCTGGGCCAGCCTGTGCCAGGGCAGCTAGAGAGGGCATTCAGACTTGGGCTGGGGATTGGACCTGGTCATTGGTGCCCATGCACCAGTACCAGGTGGAGGCTATATGAGAAAAACAAGAACGAGGCCATGAGTTTGTCTGACACTGGATAGTTCTGTCTTACATGCTGGCCTTCATTCCAACGCAAGTCTCTTCTACTTTGGGAGAGGCTGGATATTTTCATCTTACATGCTGGCCTTCATTCCAACACAAGTCCCTTCTACTTTGGGAGAGGCTGGGTGTGGTGATGATAGTTTTAGTTTTACTGGCGTGTGAAATCCAAAAGTTTGAGCAACACTGTTCTAGGTCACTTTTGTGATCCCTTCCAGCCCAGTGGTTCTATGAAAAGCTGTAAAAAGGGGGAGCGGCTCCTCAATAAGTTCAACATGGAATGACCATGGAACCCAGCACTTCCACTCTTACGTATATGCCCCAGGGAACTGAAAATAGGTATTCAAAAGAAGCTTGTACGTGAATATTCATAGCACTATTTTCAGTAGACAAAAGGTGGAAACAAGCCAAATGTCCAATGGCTGGATACACAGAATTTATGTCCACATAATGGAATATTATTCAGCCATAAAAAGGAACAAAGTTGATACATGCCACAACCTGGGTAAACCTTTAAAACATTAGGCTAGGTTAAACCAGACACCAGAAGCCACATATTCCATGATTCCATTTATGTGGAATGTCCACAATAGGCAAATTCATGGCAACAGCAGGTTTATGGTTGGCAGGGGCTGGTTGGAGAGAATGGAAAGTGACTGCTTAATGAATAGGGAGTTTCCTTTCTGGGTGATGAAAAAGTTGTAGAATTAGCTAGTGGTAGTGTACAGCGTTATGAATGTCCTTAATGCTACTGAACTATAAACTTAAAATGACTGGTTTTATGATTATATGTATATATATATATATATATATATGAATGACTATAATTTTTTTAAATGGGGTGTGGGGGTGTGCCCATGACCTGGCTGGTGTTTTGCCTTCAGTGAGTCTTGTTCATCTCTGCCGTGCTGGTCAGTGTGACAGGTGTATGGCCCTTCTGGGGTCTTCCCTTTCCTCTCCCTCTCCCATGTGTGTGCCCTTTGTCAGAGCAGCCTAGATAGACTGAGGGTCTTCAGCCAGTATCCCCAGAGCCCAGCACAGAAAATGCTTTGAGAATGAACCAGCAAATGAAGTGGGGCTGCCTTGTTCTGGTCCTGCAGATGGGAGAGGTCAGGACGCCCTTGAGGCACCAGCTCATCTCACCTATTCCGCACCCCTTCACCACTCCTCTGGTTTTCATTTCCTGGCTCAGCGTGGCTCAGAGCTTCTCTACCTCATGTGCTCACAGCTCTTTAGCAGGATAATTGTCTCCTCTTTCATCACGACCCAAACACTCCCTTTGAGTCTGAAGATGAGTGTTTCCTGAAGCACCCAGGCGTTGGCATGGACACCTTCTTGACTGACCTGTTCAGCTGTGGGTGCCCTCAAGGCAGCTGAGGCTGCCCTGTGGACTCCCATGGACTCCTGCTCCCCCACCTAAGCCACAGCCCTTGGCCTCTCCTTCCGCCCAGCCCTATGTTTCGCCTTCGCTTCCACAGGTGTCTGTTTCAAGACCTTGGCAACAGGCTCAGAGAGCACTTCCAGGGAAGCCAGCCTGTGACAGGGGGCTTTCTACAGCTCCAGCTCATATCCCTGGAAAATTCTTTCTCATAGAGTGCTGGCCTCATGCCCATGGCCTCCCCAGACCCTTGCCCCAGCCTCCAGGGCCTCCCAGCTTCCCCCCACACCTTCCTAAAGCCCCCTAGGGCTAAGCGCACCAATAGGAGCTACTGGGACCGGGAAAGAATCAACAAGGAGTCCCAACTTGCGAGAATTCTTTTCATACTTTTGAGACAGGGTCTCATTCTTTCCCCCAGGCTGGAGTACAGTGATGTGATGATAGCTTACTACAACCTTGAACTCCTGGCTTCAAGGGATCCTCCAGCCTCAGCTTCCTAAAGTGTTGGGATTACAGGCATGAGCCGCCGTGCCAGGCCACTTGTGAGAATTCCTAAAAGAAACAGAGAATCGCCAAGCTATTTATAGCTTTCAGAAGCCCTCCTCTCCAAATTGTGAACAAGCTGCAGAGGCTAAACAACAGGTTTCGTTTATTTGTGTTGTGCGTGGAGGGGAACCTTGGTGACAAAGAAAGAGCTAGAGCTGGAGACTGCACACCATTGTCGCTACAGCTTCTGTGGGGTGGCTTCATGGGTGCCACATAGCTGGGTGGCCGTGTGGGGTGCTGACAGCCTTTCTCAGGTAGGCAAGCAGGTCCATGCAGCAGACCTTGATGACATACCCTTGTAGGCATGGGGGACGCACCAGGGAGCAAAGCATATTCCCTGCCCTCTAGGAGCTTGTGATCCACTGGAGTCGCAATACCCTGGCTCACAGGGCTGCTGTGAGCACTCACATAGTTCAATGCCCAGCACAGTGCCTGACACATGGAGGTGATCATCAGGCACAGACACTTTTAATCATTCATCCTCTCACTGTTCCTTGGAGAGCATAGGAGCTCCTCATCAGTAGCCACAGTGCCCCTGGAGCAGACAGCAGGCATAGGAGCTGGGATTTGGACCTGTGGCAAGGCCCAGGGATGCACCGGCCAGACTCACTGGAAGAATGAATGTAAAATACTTGTTAATTAGGTAGCAATAAACACACATAATTTAGTTTACAAACCAGAGTCACATAAGGAAGAATGTGGAGCAAAAGAGATTGGGGGGAAGCACAAAGTGCAGACTGGTTTTCAGAGCCACGTGATTGGTCTACATGGATCCCCTTTCTGTCATGTACTTAACATCGTCCACTTATTCCTGGGTCACACTGACTTCGCTTTTAATTTAAAGTTTATTTTAAAGTGTTCACAAGTCATTACCAGTAAATATGTTTTTGTTGTGCAAGATGTAACACATTGATGTTTTTATGTCCTCTATTGAGAGCAAGATCAGGGACAGCTTTCACTAGAACCTTGTAGGAGTTCCAGGCTATGCAGAGTCCAGAGCTTGGGCAGAAGGAGCCCTTCAGACAGAAATCTCACACCCAGATAACCCCCCTCAGGGGGGCTCCTGCTCACCTGCAGTGGACTCTTCAAGTTTCTTGAGCTTTCTACTGCTGGAGGCGTGGCTCTTTGCAGGATTGATTACTCGTAACACCTGTGTGGGGCATGCCTAGCTACAGCCTTGCCACTCTAAGTGTTGCCCATGGACACTTGGTAGAAATGCAGACCCTGCAAGGTCCCCAGGGGATGCGTACGCGCACTGCAGTGTGAGAGGCAGCACATTCATCTTCTCAAGCACTGTATGCGTGTGAGCACTGTGGTGCTGTTCCCTCCTACACCAGGGAAAGCATCCTCTGCAGGCAGGATGACCCACCGAGAGTTGCACAGATAAGTAGGGCAGAACTGAGACTCACCCTGCTTCTCAGGTCTCCCTTCAACCCCAGTAAGCACTTGTGGTTTCTACAAATGCTTAATCTTCTCATCTACCCAGAGGTACCGTTGTTACTACCCATGTTACAAATGAGCAAAGTAAGGCACAGAGAAATCAAGTAACTTGCCTGAAGTTGCCATAC